AGTTAAACTGGTCAAATTAACTCGTCACATTGGTGAAAGTGACCATTTTGTCAAACTCGTCAAACTCGTCAAACTCGTCAAACTCGTCAAACTCGTCAAACTCGTCAAACTCGTCAAACTCGTCAAACTCGTCAAACTCGTCAAACTCGTCAAACTCGTCAAACTCGTCAAACTCGTCAAACTCGTCAAACTCGTCAAACTCGTCAAACTCGTCAAACTCGTCAAACTCGTCAAACTCGTCAAACTCGTCAAACTCGTCAAACTCGTCAAACTCGTCAAACTCGTCAAACTCGTCAAACTCGTCAAACTCGTCAAACTCGTCAAACTCGTAAAACACGTCAAACCAGTTTCACCATTTTGTGTTTATTTTGTACAGGCATAATGGCTGCAAGTGATGAAAGAATGACAATTGTTTATTACAAGTCTGGTGGCAAGTGGATAATGAATGCAAGTGGAGAATATGAATGGGAAGGAAAAGTTAAAGATGCCAAGGGTGTGATATTCCTTTTTCCTCCGACAGATTTGACATACAGACATCTGGTTGAGGAGTTACATTCTGATATGAATGTGGACAAAGGAAAAGCAAATATTCAGCTAAGTTATCTACCGTCAATAAAAGGAAAATGTGAGCCGATTTACATATGGAATGACAAGCAAGTGTTTATTTATCTCATGGACAAAATAAACGGAGGAAGAAGCATGCTTCACGTGGAGATTGAAAAAGTAAATTTGAGAAGTGAATGTGAACAAGAAATTGTTATGCAATACATTCCGGATTCCGGTAGTGGTGTTGGTATTGGTGTTGGACCATATGGGGCTGTGCTTTATGCAGGTTATAATAAGAATATGATTCAGAGTCCCGATTTCAAGAGTAAAGGTGCGAGTAATACGATACAATTTATAGATGATCTGGATGATGAACATACTATTGTTCAAGAAGATGAAATGAATGGAGAACATGCAATTGTTTTAAAAGAGGGACCTGCAACTGAAACCCATAAAGTTGGCTTTGGTGATGGAGATGGTGATGGTGAGAATAATATGGCCATTGTAGCTGTGGAGGACACATCGTTTTCTCTTTCAGTATTCAATTTTAGTGATGGATTGAATATAAGTATTGGCTATGAGTTTGTTAATAAGGCAGCAACTCAGGAATATGTACGGAAAGGCGCTGTTAAAGCTTGTTTCGGTTTTTCTACAGTGAAGTCTGACAAGAAGTTGTGGGAATTAAGATGCAAGTTTTATAGATCGGGTTGTGCTTGGAAATTACGCATTGCAGCGATTCA